CCACGAATCGACCACCAAGATTAGGGTTAAAATCAGTGTTAGGACGAGCTTATCAACGGTCTAAAGAGCAATTAAGAAAGTTAATTACTTAAAGAAACAGAATGTAAAAAAAAAAGACACCAGTCGATATGCTGAGAAAAGAAATACGCATTAATTTTGGCCGGGCGAATATGACGTGGTCTACACGATGGCAGCATGTTGTCTTTTCTGATGAGAAAAATTGAATTTGGAAGGAACTGATGGCTATAATTATTATATCCATGACCTACTCATAGAAGAACATTATTTGGAACGGTTTCCAAGCCGCTGCGGCGGGGGGGTGGTGTGGCATTTGTGTAGGTATCAATATCTTACTACAGCACTTGCAAGGCTCAATTTTTGACATCGCGCATGAACGCATAGGACCATAATATCGTGTTTAAAACTGCTGTTCCGCATTTCTATAACCTGTCTGAAAACCGGCATTAGATTTTCCAGCATGATAATGCCCCAATTCAGACCGCCCGATCCCTGAAGTCCTGGATTCAGGGCCAAAAAATTGATCTCATGGAGTGGCCACCATACTCACTCGACCTTAATATCATTGGAAACGACTGGGGATGGTTGGTCAGGAAAGTATATGAGTCCGGAAAGCATTATAGTACAAAGACAGAGTTAATCGAAGGTACTGAACACGCTTAATCAACCATATCCTTGAATAATATTGAACAACTTTATAATTCCATTCCTAATCGAATTTTTTAAGTAATTTCAAACAAAAAACGGCACTACGCACTACTAATATTACTTAAAAATGACAATAGCTTAAAATACAGGTGTTATTTTTGGTAATTAACTTAAATAAATTGAATTTAGCGCAGGGGGCGCTAATCTGATGACCAAATTTTTGTTACATGTTTTTTGTACATTTTACAAAAAAAATTTTTAAAAAATAATCCTTATTGTTACAGTAGCCATTCTTTTTGTATTTTAAAGAGAAATAAATGGAGTATAATGTAAAAAAATTTCAAAGATGGAGCTCTGCTGGTTTAGATTTTATTTAGCTTTGAGGTTGAGTGTAAAGGGGGGCGCTAACCTGATGACGCGCAGTGTATATGTGTGTATGCCAGGATAGGCAAGTGACAAGTAGTCGCGAGACGAAGTACTCAGCGGGCCCTAAGTACCGCGGACCAGTAGGAGAACTGGGTTATGTTATTAACAGAATGCTGTTAATAACATAACATTGTGTGGTGCGGGAGGAGCAATTCTTGTTAATGAGATCTGGCATTAACAATACCTATAAAAGTAATGGGAAGTGCACTTGCGACTTTAGTTAGTCAGCTACTTATATGAAAGCGCGCCTCTTCAATTAAAACCCAAAATCGTTCACACCATTCACCAGGAACACGCCAATGTTCATGTCCCATGCATACAGTGGCCCCAACGCCAAATCGGACAAGACTATTTATTTATTTCAATAAGTAAGTATTTATTTCAGTAAGTTAACTTTTTACCGTTTTCACATTTTTTCTCAAATCTATTATGTATTAGCCCCCTAAAACAAAAAAAAATTTTTTAAATTTCAAATGGCAACATTTTTTTTATTTTAAAAAACGAACCACAAGTCCGATTTTGAGCTTCAACGCCAAATCGGACAAAAGAAAACTTTAATGAAAAATAAGAGAAAAACTTAATATTTAATATTTTGTTGCAAAACCTTTGTTTGCGACAACAGCCTGCAAGCGATTGGGAACTGATTTGACCAACTTTTTGCAGATCTCTGGCTCTATGGAGTTCCAAGCTGCAAGTAATCCCATTTTCAATTGGTCCAGATTGTTATACCGGTTTTGGTAAACTTTCCTCGCCAAAATTTCCCACAGATTTTCTATTACGTTTATATCCGGGCTCTGGGCAGGCGTTTGGATCAATTTGGGACAATTATGGATTAGCCAGAGCCTAGCTAGCATTGAAGTGTGCTTGGGGTCGTTGTCTTGATAGAAAGCAAAGTCTTCAAGTAGCCCCAATTTCTCCGCACTCTGCTTAACATTTTTTTTCAAAATATCAAGGTAGCCAAATTTATCGAGTATGCCATCAATAAAGTGCAAATGGCCAACTCCCGCACTCGACATACAACCCCAAACCATGACTGAACCTCCTCCATGCTTAACAGTGCCTATTGTGTTCTTGGGCTCAAACTCAGTATTTGGTTTACGCCACACATACACCTTACCATCGGACCCATGCAAATTAAATTTACTTTCATCAGTAAACAACACCTTTAAATAAGATAATTAGCAAAAAAAGAAAGGTATTTAATATGATATACAACCAACTAACATGATTCCAAAAGTCATCCGTTTTTAGCAAGTACTCTTTCGCGAATTTTACCCTAAACGCTTTGTTCTTAGGGCTAATATAAGGCTTTTTTTGGGCAACTCGGCCATGCAAATCATACCGATGCAAAGTATTGCGCACTGTGTTGTCACACACATCCTTTCCAAAGTTTGCTTTTAATGACATCCTTAGTTCCTTTGCGGTTTTAAAGGGATCAACCTTAATTTCCCTTATAATCGACTGTTACTGTACGCCTATGAGCTTGAGAACATAACGAAATGCAATAAGCAAAACAAAAACGAAAATCTCCGCCAAATAACGGATCTTTTTCTTGCAGTTTTCTTTTGTCCGATTTGGCGTTGAAGCTCAATATCGGACTTGTTGTTCGTTTTTTAAAATAAAAAAAATGTTGCCATTTGAAATTAAAAATTTTTTTTTTTGTTTTGGGGGGCTAATACATAATAGATTTGAGAAAAAATGTGAAAACGGTAAAAAGTTAACTTACTGCTAAAGAAAATACTTGTTGAAATAAATAAATAGTCTTGTCCGATTTGGCGTTGGAACCACTGTACATACAAACACATACACACACGCAAATGTAAAGGCACACAGGCACACAAATGCTTCTACAAGTGATATCCCATAATTGTGAGCATCGCATCCCATGCGCACACACAATCAAATGTATATACATACATACATACATATGTATGTGAGCACTTCATAAGATCGACAAATGCAAATGCTGGGATTTAAAATAGCTATAGGCAAAGAGAGCTTCGCACACAGGCATACAAATGCTCATAGTACATGTAGCATACTGTAAGTGTGTGTGCATGCTCGTCGCGAAAAAATTTTCATTATGCGCACCAACGCTTTCATACCCTTCCCACAAATAATAACGAAAATGCATGGCAAACGGTTTGAAATGTTCGGTATACTCTTCACACAGAAGGGAAGGCATGGGTTCTCGCTGCCAAGAAATTTCAATTTTTGTGAGATACTGCTTGTGCTCACATGCATACATACATATACATATTTGAGAGAGAGAGAGAGCAAGGGAATAATTCAGCGTAGAGGGATCTTTTGTTCAACAGCCGACCATCTCGGTCGAGCGCATGAAGAGAAATGATTTTGTGTTCCCATATTTTCGTAGCCCGACCCTAAAAGTGAGGAGCCGAGAAAATACGAAGTGGTCTGGGAACTAATGCTAGAAAAAAAGTGTGCAAAACGCTTTACACTACGTGTCCGGTCTATGTGTTCTGTGGTTAGTGATTATAAATAATTAATAATTAAATATTTGATGTGATAACAAAATAGCAGTTATCGATTTTTGTAATAAATCCCGATATGCGCGTGATATACACGGACCTAGGAAAAAATATTTACGTCTCCATCTCTTATATTTTCTGAGATCAAAGCGTTCATACATACTGATGGGCGAACAGACAGACGGATAGGGCTAAATCGACTAAGCTCGACGCCCTGTTCAAGAATATATATACTTTTAACAAAACCATTATGCCCTGATTTCCCAATTGAAACGGGATGATTGGGTTCGGGGTATAAAAGATAGAATTATTGTTTTGTTCTTTGCTTACTTACTGAGTCTCATTGTAGGAACGTCCATAGAATCACTGTCGACAAACTGTTTGTTAACGAATGATTTGATTATTTTCTGTTGATTTGGCAACCGTAAGGTGTAAATTAACGAAATTTTAATTTTGAAAAAAAAAAAAAATACTAACCACAATTGTTTGTAATATCATAAACATTGACTTAAAGTTAAAGTAATAAATACAAGTATTTTTGTAATATTCCTTTTTTATTGTAACTGTTAGAGAAGTTTGTAATTATTAAATTCGAAAAAAATAAATGTATAACTTTTTCTTAGATTAAATATTTTACATATTTTATTATGATAAAAAAGCTGTTATCATTTTTAAAATTTGTCTTATTTGAAATATAAATATTTGTTCAATTGTTGCTTGAAATTCTTGCTTGGTATTATGAATATTGCTTTGAATTGCATAGTATTACTATTTAAAAATTGCGGAGATTATTTTATTATCACATGATTTTCATTTACAGGCAAGAGATTTTACAAATGTTTTCTAGCTATAGAATTGTGCGGAATAAACAATAAGCCCTTTAAAATAGTGTCTGGATCAAAACAGATAATTGCCAAATATTTCGAAATATATTATATTACTATTCGTAAATTACTTATCAAAATGCTGTCCTTCGGGTTTTATGACTTAAAATGTATAAATACTCAGAATAATCAAAAATGTATTATATTCGAACATGCTTGCCAACGATTAATACCTAATATTACTAATCACGGTTATTTTTTAAATTTGACAGCCCTATTGCAAAAGATATTACATTGTTACAGAAATAATGGATTTTAAGACATTAAACAATTCTTTTAACTATTTGAAATTTTTGAATAGTATCATTTCAATTTAGTTTAATTTAAGAATTTAGCTAGAAATCTGATAATAAGTAAAAACTATACAGGAATCCTGCCAAATAAAATGAAGCTAAGCCCTTTTAATTAAAAAAAAAAAAAAAATATATATATATATATATATATATATATATATATATATATATATATATATATATATGTTAAAAAGACATACCCTCGAAAAGTATCAAAATAAATAAACGATATGCCTGAATTTATGTTATTAATGTATTACTTTTTAGTATTAAGTGGTGAATAAAGGTAATGACTATTTAAATATAAAGATTTATGTAGATGAATACATTAAAAATGATACGAAAATGAAAAATACAAATGAAATAAGCAATTAAAATAAAATATTACAGCGTGTATATGATGTAATTAATTGCTTAGGGCAATCATAATTGAATGAATGTTTTGTTTAGTACTCAAGCGGAAAAATTAATATATTTGGTTTGTGATATACTTGTATGAATTTGATGATTTTTTTATGTCAAGCTACTTAGAAAAGACTTTAAATGTTAAAAATACTGAATCATGTATTAGAAGAAATATAATTATTATATAATAGAATTATTACTGTACGTTTAAATAAAATTAAGTAATTATTTCCGCGCTTAATAATTCACACCATAAAAATAAAACCTTAATTTATTTAAAAACAATTTTTTTTTTAGTGTGAATATATATTATGGTTTAATGGTTTTATAAACTCATTTAAAGTTATATAGGCGTGATGGCTTGATTACTTGAATTTTATTTGGCGTCGTATGTTAACTTTGCATTATTTTCACTGGAAACAAGATTCAGAGGAACATATAGTTCCTCTCCTGCATGAGTTTCAGGAAATGATTGGGAGTTGGCTCTCTTCAAAATAACATTTTTAAGCGTTTCTGTTGTTTTAACCGTGTCATATAGTTCTGTTTTGTATTTCTGAAAATAGAAAAAATAAACATACCTTAATTTTATTTATTATATTACAAATTAAATAACTGATCATACTTTACAAAAATATAGTCAGCAAATAAAGTTTTTGGAGTATACATTTGTAAAATATCTACAATTATTGAAAATATCCTTTAAATTATATGAAACAAGTAAGAAAACTTTAATCGAGAGTGCTCGACTAGATACTACCCTGAACCAAACTAATAAACAAGAAAGCTCCAGTCGAGACTGCTCGACTATGAAATTCCTGAACCCTTCTAAGAATTGATATTTTAATAATTATTCGCATCTTTTTCTGCTTACACAAGAAACACACACAGACACACTTAGGTATGCTGTGCATAATGACGCATAGACTGCAGTGTGGGATATTGCGATAGCAACACGAAATTAACGACTAAGCTTCCTCAGAGCGGTAGTCGAAAAACGAGAACGAGATGAGTGCAGAGCAAACGCAATTGATTTTTTTGCAATTGATTAATTGCACTAAGATACACCCCGTTGGTTCATTAATAGTTTATTAACAGTTTTCGTCTTTAACGAAGTATTTTTTTTTTGCCATTTTTGAAAAGTCGTTCTGAAAAAATTACATCGTTACCGAAAAAATTATATTTGTTATTATTCCTTATCACAGTCAAATGCTTCAACCCCCGCCGCGCCACAAACACACAAGCTATAAATCCATGCCTTTCCAATAAGAGATGCAAATGGTACTTACGTATTCTGCATAAAATTGATCCATTTTTATACTCATTCGCGAAAGTGAAATGAGTATATTGGTTTTGTGCAGTGTCCAGCTGTCTGAATCGTAGTTTATTTTGGCGCTATTGAAGCTAGAGACTTGAAATTTGGGACACATACTCGGGTATATCTCCAATTTATAGTGTTAAAATTTTCCCATTAGGAGCGTGGCAAATCGAAGAAGTAAGGAAGCTCTAGTCGAGACTGCCCGACTACGAGATCCCCTGAACCCTTCGAGCAATAGCTGTTTCAATCACAGCGCACGTAGCGAAAGTATCAATCGCATACGAAGCTGGTTGACAGGAGCTGGGCTCGAGCTTGCGGCGCACAAGATGGAAGTCGTCCTAGTAAGCAGTCGCAAAAAAGTGGAGACTGCCAATATAAGGATAGGCAGCGTCAGCATCACGTCAAAGAGGGCGATTAAGTATCTTGGCGTCATTTTAGACACAAGATTAACTTTCCGCGAGCACTTAGAGTATGTGCATAAAAAGGCAGCTGATTCTTGTAGAGCTCTCTCAAGAATTATGCTTAAAACGCGGGGACCTAAACAGCAACGACGTCTTCTTCTAATGAGCGTCATTAGGTCTGTCATCCTCTATGCTGCGCCAATATGGTCAAGAGCGATGGCAACGCCGAGCTACAGCGGGGGTATTTGCGCGATCTGCAGACTGAGCGCAGAGTCAGCTGCGCTTTCAGGACCATCTCCGATGATGCGGCGCTTGTCATAGCCGGCATGGTTCCACTGGAGTACCTGGTCGCCGAAGCCGTGGAGCGGAATTCGCACGCGCCTGTACGACACAACGGAATCATGGCGAACAGCATTGCACGATGGCAAAGAAAGTGGAATAGCTCAGCTAAAGGGCGGTGGACGCACAAGCTCATCCCGGAGCTCGAACCATGGGTTAACCGCAAACACGGCGAGGTTAACTTCTACCTTTCGGGCCATGGATGCTTTCGGAGTTATTTGAAGCGCTATGGTCACGAGGAAACTGATGAGTGCCCCTGGTGCGGGTGAGGGCATGTGGAAGACGCCAACCACATTCTTTTCGTATGTGGATGGTTCCTGGAGGAGAGGTGTCGTCTAGAAGAGGCACTGGGCCGCTCCATCAAAGCGGACAACATAGTCAACGCCATGCTGGAATCGGAGGAAGCCTGGGAATTACCAAGCACCTTCGCGGCCACAGTGATGATGGAGCTCCGCAGAGTCGAGCGAATAAGCAGACGAGCTGTAAAGCAATGCTTTACGGCCGTCCCGCAAGCATCGCGCGCTATCCTAGCCACCACACAACTTGCTACTTGTAATATAATAAGATTGTCAATAAACGAATATAAAACAAGTAAGAAAGCTCTAGTCGCTCTAGTCTAGCTCTAATCTAGTCTACCCTGAACCCTCCAATCTGATATTCTAATCACTGTGCACTTCTTTTCGGCACACATACATACACACGCACGTATTAGAGCGCGCTCTGCTAATTGTGCAATAAGCAGCGACTACGCTTGGGCTGCACTGTAGTGTGGGCAACATTATAAGAACTTATTTGTTGAATAATTTAATTTCTAGACGTAAAATCTTAATGAAACATTTAGAACATAATCATAATGTATGTACATTCCAAAGCACAAGTCTCTAGTATTTGAAATACGATTTTAACAAAGGTGAGGGGGTGGAAATAGAAGTGGGGGGTAAATTTGAACAAAAATCGAAATTGTATAAAATATAATAAGTCTACATTTAAAATTTTGAAGCTCTAGCTCTAAAAGTGTAGAAGATATAATTAAATAACTAGCTTTCGATAAGGTTTTTAATCGATAATAAAATATCGAGAGTAGTTATCGATATTTAGAGAAAAGACATGTGCGTGATATACACGGACCTAGGAAAAAAAATTTCAAGTCTCTAGCTCTTATATCTTCTGAGATCGACGCGTTCATACATACGGTCGGACGAACAGACGGGCAGGGCCAAATCGACTCAGCTCGTCGCCCTGATCAAGAATATATATACTTTGTGGGGTCTGCCACGCCTCCTTCTGCCTGTTACATATTTTAACAAAACCATTATACCCTGATTTCCCATTTTCAATGGGTTCAGGGTATAAATATAAAACAAGTAAGAACGTTGCAGTCGGGCGATACCGATTGCAGAAGACTCATTCACAGCCCATATGCTGTCAACCAGAGTATATGTCTGATGACGCTCTCTCAATAAGCTATTCTATTTTAGCAACTAGTTGGTCAAGCAAAGCAGTGGTGCGGGTGCTAAAGGCGACGATAAAGTAATGTTAGAGAAGGAGGTTCGAACCTCTTCGGTGTTATTTTTTTTTTTTTTCATACATATTTCGTTTTTTATAAAATAGATATTTTATTGGAAAGGTGCGAGCTTGAGCTCTTTTTCTTAGTCAAATAATTTTATAAGTTTAAAATTGTTTCTTCTTAAAGAGCCCTCAAACACATATACGCAAATACATACATATGTATATATGTAAGTCTGCACGCTTAGCATCAAGCATTCCAGCCTTATACACGCGCTCATTTGTATGTGTGTATGTATGTACACATCTAACATATTCTAAGAATCCCGTTGCGATTGATTTGTCCTTGCATTGTTTTTGAATTTCCAGCCACCACACAGGCTTTTCTTTGCTATGTGGCGTCATAACAATAATTTGATTTCGTTTTAACTAATGTTGGTCGAAACGACGCGGTGGTGCTGTGGGCTGAAGCGCCGGCGATCTTTTTTTTACTATTTTGACAAACATGCTGTTTGGGTTGGGTGCGAGTTCAAATCCCGCGGAAACACTTTTTTGTAAATTGCAATTTTTATACCCTGAACCCATTGAAAATGGGAAATCAGGGTATAATGGTTTTGTGAAAAGTATGTAACAGGCAGAAGGAATCATCGCAGACCCCATAAAGTATATATATTCTTGATCAGGACGAGCTGAGTCGATATAGCCCTGTCCGTCTGTCCGTCCGTCCGTCCATCCGTATGAGCAAAAGGATCTCAGAAGATATAAGAGCTAGAGAGCTGAAATTTGGCATGCATACTCGTGTATACCATAGGCAGTACGAGTTTGCTTTATTTTTTCGATAACTCATCCGATAACTTTTTTATCGAGAATAATCGAGAAATCGACTTGGTTTTTTCAGCCTAGTTTGAACACTTTTAAACCTGGAGACTTCAAATTTGCGTTGTATATAGAGTTAATGGACACAAAGATTTTGTAATTTACAGATTTTGGATACCACGCCCCCTTCGCCCCCAATTTGTAAAAGACGCATTTCAAATACTAGAGACTTGTGCTTTGGAATGTACACACATTTTAACCATATGATTACGGTCTGAAAGTTTCATTAAGATTGTATGTCTACAAAAGAAATTATTCAACAAATAAATTGTCATATATTGCCCACATTGCAGCGCAGCTCAAGCGCAGCCGCTGCTTACTGCGCAGTTAGCAGAGCGCGTGCTTATAAGTGCATGTGTATGTATGTGTACATAGAAGAAGTGCAGTGAAGTGATTAGAAATTCTAATTTAGAATATCAGCTTGGAGGGTTCAGGGTATCTCCTAGTCGAGCAGTCTCGACTGGAGCCTTCTTACTTGTTTTTGTTATTTTAGCTTTTTTATATTTTATTAATTTTATAAAAATGTTTCCTTCCGTGCTATCAATGCCCATTAAGCCTATTTATGTGAACAAATACATAAATAGATGGCTGACGCATATAAATGCCGCAATATGGACACTGTAAATGCCGATTGCCACGCCCCTAGTGGCCGTAGACTCCTCATTTTTGGCCAGTTCTTTGAACGAGCAACCGGTAACCTATATGCAAAATTTAAATTCTTAAGCTCAAAAAATGTGAAAATTACAGGGTATTTTTCGATATGCCATGCCCCTAAAGAGGCGTAAAAATTATTGTTGGGGCATCGATAGAAGCTTCTAGCTCTTAAACTGTAGGAGATATCAACTTTTGCGGTTTGCCACGCCCCCTATGGGCGGACATATATCTACCATAGCTCGTTGGACTTGGGTGGTCAACCCGCGTATATATACAAAATTTCAGGTCTCTAGCATCAATAGTGTCTAAAATAAAGCCGAATTCGGAAAATAACTATATCTTCAGGTCAGTTTTGCCACGCCCCTAGTAGGCGTAGATATAATTATAATAATTTTTTTCACCCATCTTTATAGAAAAAAAGCATCAGCTTACGTGCAAAATTTTAGCATTCTAGGTTTATAA